GACAGGCCGTTGGTGGCCGCCCCGCCCGGCATCCTGACGGGCCGCGGCGCAGGTGGGGTGCCGGGGGCGACGCTCGGGCGGCGGCTAGCGGGAGCGCTTCGGCCGCCGCTTACCGGAACATGGCGCGGCCGGGAGGGCGCTGCCAGCGCCCCGGGACGGCCGGCATCGCGGGGGCGCGCCCTGCCGCCGCGCGCTCCCGGTGCCAGCCGCGCTGCGTGCGCGGTGTCGGAGACTCGGTGCGGGCCGGGGCGTGGGAGGCGCGGTGGTCCCGGGAGAGGTGCGCGAAAGCGAAGGGGCTGCGGCTCGCGGAGCCGGGACTGTCCTGAAGGGCCAGTGCGACCTGCCCTTGCGGCGGTGAGCGATCAGGGCTCAGTTCGTGCCGGGTCCGGTTGGAACGATGTTCAGGGACCCCTAGAGCACGTTGGAATCTTAGGTCTGATTTTGAAGAGGAGTATGGGATGACGCATCCTTCAGGATCCAAAGCGTTGAATAAACGGCTGTACAAAGAGGTCAGCGAAGCCCAGCTGACAGCTGTGTTAATAATCACAGCGAGACTAGTTGAGGGTGGATGTGAACAGTACTGTCCTAGGCGAACACGTAGGGGAAACATTGGAAGCAGTGTGGTTGCAGGGACTGTAATTTCCGCCGGACGCGCCTTGAACCGGGGTGAAGTATGTTGCAAATCCAGTGATCGATGACGCTTCGGGGTTACCGCTAATTCTGTGGTACAGATGAACCTGCGTTTTCGGTCATGTGTTTCTTCTTAGTTTTAAAATGGTCTGAGTCAATTATGAAGGAAGACGAAATATTCGAGCAAGTCATCTGTTCATTAAAAACATATGCCCAAGTCGGCTGTTAAAAATCTTGGTAACTGATCTTTCTCAGTTTCTTCAGTCTTTACACAAAGGCTTTCCTGGAGATTAACTCGGAACTGGCAAGATGTGCACTCTCGGGGCCCAGTGGCTTAAAAGCAAAACTGTGTTGGAATCACCAATGTAAGGATGAAGATGTTATATTTAAAAACATTTCAGGATAACATTTAATATTTTAATACATGTGTTTACATGGCAGGTGTGGAGATCAGAGGATAACTTCCTAGTGGTTCTTTCCTTGGGCCTGGTGATGGTTCACACTTTTACACTTTGAGAGGGCTTTCATTCGGGTTAAAAGCAAAAACTATGCAAGTATGCAACAATGCTTGTTCCTGAGTCTGTAGCTGCAGAGAGAAAGGTTTTAGTACTTACTGAAGATAGAAGTACTTAAGGTAGAAAGAAGCACTAATTGAATTTCTAATGCTCTCCTAGACAAACTAAGTTTTGTTTTTAAAGACTGTCAAAGTTTTCTGGAAGGGAAACCAGAGGGTTAAGTGTATTTGTGGATGGAATATCAGAATTAAATATTCTAAATATTTGGAAGCCTTTGTCAGTTTCTTACAGTTTTTGTGTTTTAAAGTTGTTAACAGTTTATGGACTAAGGAGAGATGAAACAGTGGTGATCTCTGGGTATGTATCCTATGAAGTGTATTTGAGGAGGAGTTAAGAGAACAACAGTAGTGAAAAAGGCTCAGTTGCTGAAAATATTTTGCTGTCTTGGTGTAGTTTCTCCAGGAAAAAATAATGGTTCAACTTTATATGGAGACAGTTGGAGTAAATTGGGAAAGAGGATGCTTTTTGTCAAGATTACAGTGTTGTTGGAGACGTAGCTTGGTTGGCAAGCCCATCATGTGGGAAGCCCTGTATTTCATCCCCAGCATTGCATGAACCAGGCTTGATAGCACACAGCCATAGTGTCTGTAAACCCAGTACTCAGGAAGCAGAAGTAGGAGAATCAGCTCAAGGTTGGGTTAGAGAGATGACGATCATGAAAACCTAAGCATGAGGACCCTAGTTTAGATGCCCAGCAACTGGGTAAACCCTAGGAGCTGTAGCACACTCCTGTAAATTCTGGCACTGGGGAAGCAGAGCCAAGGAGCGTACCTGGCTGGGGCTTGCTGGCCAGCCAGTCTAGCCAGATTGGCAGGCTCCAGGTTCAGTGAAAGATCCTGCCTCAAAAAAAAGATCGAAAGCAATGGAAGATGATGTTGACCAGTGGCCATACAAGCATTACACACATGCATTTGTGTTCATCTGTATAAACAGACACACCCACCACCACTACCATCCCCCTACCCTCCCCCCCACAAAAAAAGGTGTAAGCTGCATAGTGACTTCTAGGCTAGCCTGAGATACATCAGACCCTTTGAAAAAATAATTCCATTCCTAATGCTCTTCTAACTCAATAGAGGTTGTTGGGAAAGTGATAGTTTCTGAAGTTGGTTAGAGAAATGGTAGTCTGTAGGATATCTGAAAAGGATATTTTTTTTTTTTAAGTATGAGGTTTTTCTTTAGCTGTTTAGTAGTTAATTTTTCTCAATTTTTTTTTTTTTTGAGACAAGGTCTTTG